ACTACTAGCTGTACAATATAGTAAACAGGAGATGCTGCCGAGTCTGTTATACTCATCCCATGGAAAATGACCAAATCTTTCATAATCAAATATCACTTTTCCTAATCTTTCCCTCTTTTTTGTTTTAATTATTAGTCCCAGTTTCTTATTTGTTCCTACTAATAATGTTTTAACAGTGTCACTTAAACACTATGAAGACAATGGTGTGTTTACGTATTAATCTTAATTTTTTTGACTTTAATATTTTTTCCATCCTCTACTTTTAATTCTTTTTCCTGTGATTTTCTTTCCCTGATTACTTATTTTCCCTTTCCTCTTGTTTCTTATATTTTATTCCAATTCCCTTATTCCCTTCCGCTTTTTAGGTAGGTATGGGATTTTGTACCTACCTTTAAGGGGATTTTAGGTGTAAAGGGTTTTATATATACCGTGAGGGGTTTAAAGTCTAAATAAGAGGAATTAGTAGATGCATAAAACAATATTTTATCCACCGCGCTTTAATATGATTTGTTTATTATAAATTTTGCGATTTTTTTTTCTCGTCTCCTGATCACAATTAGACGGGCGCTTCTTCCGAGCTCCGACACGGCCATGCCTCTCTCTCCACTTAGGTTAGGTTAGGTTTCAAAGAGAGTATAATAACTGGAATATGCACCACCAATCATATCACACTTCCAGTCAACTGAGTCCAGAGAGAAAATATACAGACTAAAGTTCCTGAAATGTTACCCCGACCACCATAGGCTTCCCAAGAGCACAGAACAACACACGGTGACCAGGAGGACTGTGTTGGGTTACGATGACGTCACTGGAGGTCAATAATTCCAACTGTTGCCATTGGTTCATTTCTGTTCGAGTATAATTCCCCCTGTTGCCATTGGTCATTTCTGTTCGAGTATTTGCAAGTTTTCTTTTGGCTTGTGCGGGTGTCAGGTTAGAGTGACGTTCTTCTCTGGGCAAAAGAATGAGGTTCGCCTTTTTTGTTTTGTGATTGGTTGTTTCTGTTCAATGAATGTTTGGCTAATAGAATGACAGTCTGTTTACTGAATGTTAAAAAAATGATGCTATTTACAGAATGTTACAAGAATGATACTGTTTACATAATATATTAAAAGAATGACACACATTCATCATTCTTGTAGCATAACGCCAGGGATATTTTGCTCAATATCCTTTATATTCATTTGCGAACCAGAAAATCGAGTTAATAATTCCATATCTCTATTAATTTCCTCTCTAGCCTGAGTCCTAATCACCAAGAGGTTTCCTAACCCTGTCAATATTATTTCCTTATTAACTCATTAAAATAACCACAACAAACTCATTTATTTATTTTTTTTCAATTTTCTTTTCTTTATTCTAGCTTAACATTTCTTTTTCTATTTTTATTTTCTAATTATTCATTCGTGTTTTTTAATTTCCTTCATATAATCACTTCCATTTATCCATTGTTCTTATCACTTTCTCTAATTAATAATACTGTGGCTCATATCGTCATAATTTCCACCTAAATAAGCAAGATTAATCACATGAACACACGCATTGTTAGAGGCAAGAAACATCACCCAAGCGTCGACTTCAAGTGGAGAAAAAAAAACAAAAGCTCCCGAAACTTGTTTACATGTGGTTGCTGTTTCGTACATCTGGCAGTGTGTACAATGAGACGTGCTTGAGGAAAAAAAAAGAAAATCTCTCTCACGGGGGAGGAAAGAGAAACTGTCTTTGTGTCAGTAAGGTGAGACAGGCCTTGTGAGGGAGGGGGCTGGAAAAAATGTCTCTCACGGGGGGAGGGGGAGAGACATTTTCGATGTGTCATAAGAGAGAAAGGCTTTGTGAGGTAGGGAGGGAGGGGGGAGGAAGAGACATTGTTATCGGGGAGGAGAGAAGGCCTAGTCTGTCGGTGTGTCGGGTAAGAGAGAAGGCCTAGTCTGTCGGTGTGTCGGGTAAGAGAGAAGGCCTAGTCTGTCGGTGTGTCGGGTAAGAGAGAAGGCCTAGTCTGCCTAACATGTAAATTGGTGTGAAAAAGAATAATGACCTGACGTTGACCTGGCGTTGACCAACCTGGCGTTGACAGGAGAAGGGGTTAACATGACCTTAGCGTTACGACCTTACATGGCGCGACACTGGTTGTTGTCCTGAATCATTATGCCTCAAATTACAACTGCGTGTGTGTGTGTGTGTGTGTGTGTGTGTGTGTGTGTGTGTGTGTGTGTGTGTGTGTGTGTGTGTGTGTGTGTGTTAAACCTTATTACAACACATCAGCAAAACACAAGTAAACTCTCTCTCTCTCTCTCTCTCTCTCTCTCTCTCTCTCTCTCTCTCTCTCTCTCTCTCTCTCTCTCTCTCTCTCTCTCTCTCTCTCTCACACAATGCAACTCGGCTCCTGCTAACATCTGCACCCGAGTCTCTCAATACCTGCTCCAATATCTCCACTGAAGACTATGAATGGCTCCCCCAGTCTGGCAGGTCTTGATAAATTCCGTTTACAGAGCCATTAACCCCAGCTAGTAGTTAGGGCTAGCGGGATTAATGCAGTTGCTTGCTAGTTCTGTGCACTTCATGAATACAGGATCCGGTTTATGTAAAAGAGATTCCTGGCCACCGCTATGCCTTTAAAACAGGGTTGTGTTTCCAGTTCTGTGTGTTAATTCGTTTTGGGTGTGTAATTAAGGACAGATAGATAGACGGACGGACGGACGGACTGACGGATCCTTTGATATAACGTAACTATTTTTATTTTATACATAAGCAAACTCAGTATTTGAACAGTTGATTTTATTTGTATATTTTATGTTTTTATTTACAAGGACATAATTCTCTGGTCGTGATTTTTGTATGTATGTATGTATGTATGTATGTATGTATGTATGTATGTATGTATGTATGTATGTTTTATACTAAATATCCTACAACAAACACAGACACATCATCCTTTGTCATACTTAGTACAGATTTATACAATGTATTATGCTCTCTGTCACTTGTATAATCACAGTGAATAACTCTTTAACTTTCCTCGTTGTATAACATAAATACACAATTCTCATCTTAGCATTATTTACGTAGCGCTGTTGTTGTTGTTGTTGTGGTTGTTGTTGTGGTTGTTGTTGTGGTTTTTGATGTTGTTGTGGTTGAAGTTGTTGTTGATGTTGTTGATGTTGTTGTTGTGGTTTTTGATGTTGTTGTGGTTGAAGTTGTTGTTGTTGTTGTTGATGTTGTTGTTGTGGTTGTTGTTGTTGTTGATGTTGTTGTTGTGGTTGTTGATGTTGTTGTTGTGGTTGTTGTTGTTGTTGTTGATGTTGTTGTTGTGGTTGTTGATGTTGTTGAAGTTGTTGTTGTGGTTGTTGTTGTTGTTGTTGTTATTTGGGGTTGTTTGTTGTGGTTGAAGTTGTTGTTGTTGTTGTTGTTGATGTTATTTGTTGCTGTAGTTGTTGGAGTTGTGGTTGTTGTTGTTGTTGTTATTATCTAGCTGCATATAATTTTTTCTCAAATATTAAATGTACTGTAAGTATGTTTATGTAGGATTAAAAGTCCTTGTTTAATTGCATTGTGTGTGTATTATTATTGTGTGTGTGTGTGTTAGGGAGGGGTTGGATATAATTACCTCAAGCTTCATTAAATCCTACAAAAACAAATAATGAAAATAAACCCAAAGAAAATAATATATAAACTTTTTTAATTTTTGATTATTTTTATTATTATTTTTTCATAACGCAAAGAAAAAACATCAATGTATTTTTTTAATTGTTGGTTTTATTAATGTTATTGATTTTCTTTCACCATTACGACGCAAAGAAAGATTTTGAGGGGGATAAAAGATATGGGAAAGGGAAGTAGAGGAAAGGGGGAAGAGAATAGACGAGAAGAAGGGAAGGAGGAGGATGGTAGAGGAGTAAGAGGGAAGAGAATGGAGGGTAAGAAGGGGAGGAGGAAGAATACGGGGGAAGGATTGGGAGACGAAGAAGGAGAGGAGAAGGTAGAGGAAAAAAAGATTCTTTATTTATTTTGAGGTGTGGGGAGATAATTCTTCTCTGTCTCGTTTCTTTTGTTTTTGTCTCTTATTTCCTCTTCTTTATGTATCTCTCGTTTTATTTTGTTTTGCCTTTTTCTTTTGTTTCTCTTTGTTTTGTCTTTTTTTATTTATTTCCCTTTGTCTCATTTCTTTTGTTTTTCATTTATTTTGATTTTTTTTTAAATTTCTTTTCTCTTTTTCCTTTATTATTATTTTCTCTTCCTCTCATTTCTCTTGTTTTTGTTGACTGTTCTTCTCTCTTTTATCTCATTTATCTTTTCCACCAAAATATGATAACTATATAAACCAATGAGATGAACAAAAAAGGAGGGACGGAAAATGACAGAAAACAGACAGACAGAGAGAAGCCAGGCATATAAAACAAAACAACAAAACAAAAAGACAAGAGAAGCATAGAGAAAAAATAAAACAGACAGACAGACAGAGACAAGCCAGGCATATAGAGAGGAGAAAAATATAGACAAAAAGGACAGACAGACAGACAGACAGACAGACAGATAGATAAACAGATAGATAGATGTTCCACTATTCAACACCTGACTCACCACTCAACACCTGACCACTCAACACCTGACTCACCACTCAACACCTGACTCACCACCAAACCTGACTCACCACTCAACACCTGACTCACCACTCAACACCTGACTCACCACTCAACACCTGACTCAACTACCCAACACCTGACTCACCACTCAACACCTGACTCACCACTAACACCTGACTCACCACCTAAAACATTCACCAACCTCTCTCTCTCTCTCTCTCTCTCTCTCTCTCTCTCTCTCTCTCTCTCTCTCTCTCTCTCACATATTTTCTCACTCTCACACTAACTCTCTCTCTCACACAAACACTCTCACACACTCTTTCACACTGAATCTATCCCACCCACTCTCACACTCGCTATCACTCTCACACTCGCTGCCCCACTCACTCACTCACTCTTGCTCTCTCTCATTGGACACAGGAACTGGCGGTATGAACAGGAACTGGACAGCCTCTTGTGGAAGATCGATTATAAGGATATTAATGTCAACGAATGGACTCCGAACCACATCCCAGCCCCGAATAAGCTGTCCAGGGTAGGGATCTCTCTCTCTCTCTCTCTCTCTCTCTCTCTCTCTCTCTCTCTCTCTCTCTCTCTCCTCTGTATTACCTGCAAGTTACCTGAGGAGTTTCTGGTCAATATCTGTCTCACTTGATTAATCGCCCTCTACACAATAACGCCAGGTGTTATAATTAAGGTATAAACACCTGTCACACGTGTTGAGTTGTAGAGAGTCACATGTGTTTGTTGGAGTAGTGAGGGGAAGTTTTGGCAGGTGTTAGGGGGATTAAAATACACCTCTTGACTCACACACCTGTTGGACTCACATACCTGTTGGAACACACATCTATAGCGCCACACACCTGTTGGCTCGCAGTCATTATACACCAGTTGCCTTATACACATGTTGGAATACACATATATAGCATCACACACCTGTTAGGTAACTTCACACACCTATTGGCTCACATCACCCACCTGTTAGTTAACACTTGTTGGCTCACATCACACATCTGTTGGATCACACCTGTTGGCTCACATCACACATCTGTTAGTTAACACCTGTTGGCTCACATCACCCACCTGTTGGCTCACACACCTGTTGACTCACACACCTGTTGGCTCACATTACCCACCTGTTGTTAACACCTGTTGGCTCACATCACACACCTGTTGATCACACACCTGTTGGATCACACCTGTTGCTTACATCACCCACCTGTTAGTTAACACCTGTTGGATCACACCTATTGGATCACACACCTGTTGGATCACACACCTGTTGGATCACACACCTGTTGGATCACACACCTGTTGACTCACACGTCTGTAGCGTCACTGTTCTCTGTCTTCCTTAACCCAGGATTATGTGAGACGCCTTCCATCTTTCCCCAGACCCGTCACTTCCTCCCCACCACCACTCAACACCCCAGTTCTCCTGACCACCACTAACACCCCAGCCTTCCTCCCCACACTAACACCCCAGTCTTCCTGACCACCACTAACACCCAGCCTTCCTCCCCACACTAACACCCCAGTCTTCCCGACCACCACTAACACCCCAGCCTTCCTCCCACACTACACCCCAGTCTTCCCTGACCACCACTAACACCCCAGTCTTCCTCCCCACCACCACTAACACCCCAGCCTTCCTCCCACACTAACACCCCAGCCTCTCCCACCACCACTAACACCCCAGCCTCTCCCTCCCCACACCACTACTCCCCAGCCTTCCCTGACCACCACTAACACCCCAGCCTTCCTCCCCACACTAACACCCCAGTCTTCCTGACCACCACTAACACCCCAGCCTTCCTCCCCACACTAACACCCCAGTCTTCCCTCACCACCACTAACACCCCAGCCTTCCTCCCCCACACTAACACCCCAGCTCTTCCTGACCACCACTAACACCCCAGCCTTCCTCCCCACACTAACACCCCAGTCTTCCTGACCACCACTAACACCCCAGCCTTCTCCCCACACACTAACACCCCAGCCTTCCCGACCACCACTAACACCCCAGCTCTTCCTCCCCCTACACACACACCTCCCCAGCCTTCCTGACCACCACTAACACCCCAGCCTTCCTCCCACACTAACACCCCAGTCTTCCCTGACCACCACACTAACACCCCAGCCTTCCTCCCCACACTAACACCCCAGCCTTCCTGACCACCACTAACACCCCAGCCTTCCTCCCCACACCAATACCCCCAGTCTTCCTCACCACCACTAACACCCCAGCCCCCACACTCAACACCCCAGCCTTCCCTGACCACCACTAACACCCCAGCCTTCCTCCCCCACACCTCAATACCCCCAGCCTTCCTGACCCACCACTAACACCCCAGCCTTCCTCCCCCACACTAACACCCCAGTCTTCCTGACCACCACTAACACCCCAGCCTTCCTCCCCACACTAACACCCCAGTCTTCTCCTGACCCACCACTAACACCCCAGCCTTCCTCCCCACACTAACACCCCAGCCTTCCTCCCACCACCACTAACACCCCAGTCTTCCTCCCACCACCACTAACACCAGCCTTCCTGACCACCACACTAACACCCCAGCCTTCCTCCCACACTCAACACCCCAGCCTTCCCTGACCACCACTAACACCCCAGCCTCCCCACACTAACACCCCAGTCTTCCCCACCACCACTAACACCCCAGCCTTCCTCCCACACTAACACCCCCCAGCCTTCCTGACCCACCACCACTAACACCCCAGTCTTCCTCACCACCACTCAACACCCCAGTCTTCCTCCCCACCACCACTAACACCCCAGTCTTCCCTGACCACCACTAACACCCCAGCCTTCCTCCCCACACTAACACCCCAGTCTTCTCCCACCACCACTAACACCCCAGCCTTCCTCCCCCACACCCTAACACCCCAGCCTTCCCCTCACCACCACTAACACCCCAGTCTTCCTCCCACCACCACTAACACCCCAGTCTTCCTCCCACCACCACTAACACCCCAGTCTTCCCTCCACCACCACTAACACCCCAGCCTTCTCCCACCACCACTAACACCCCAGTCTTCCCTACCACCACCAACACCCCAGCCTTCCTCCTCCCACCACCACTAACACCCCAGCCTTCCTCCCACCACCACTAACACCCCAGCCTTCCTCCCACCACCACTAACACCCCAGCCTTCCTCCACCACCACTAACACCCCAGCCTTCCCCACCACCACTAACACCCCAGCCTTCCCACCACACCACTAACACCCCAGTCTTCCTCACCACCACTAACACCCCAGCCTTCCTCCCCACCACCACTAACACCCCAGTCTTCCTCCTACAGGGGCTCTACTCCACCGTCAGGACGAGTCAACTCTCCCTCAGCAGTAATCCTGATATGGACTTCCGCTACGCCAGTGCCTACACTCAGCTTGGCATGTACCGGGGGCGTGTGGTGGCAGTAAAGCAGATCTCCAGCAAGCCTGTCGACGTCACCCGTAGGATCAAAAAGGAGCTGAAAACGGTGAGTAGGATGTGTGTAAGATGTGGTAGGTCCTGTATGGTTCAGTAGGCGTGCAGGCTGTGACCAACTACAGGGAAGGACGAAACATTAAGACAACAAACGTAAAATTAATTGGTTTATTTCATTTCAAACAACTGGTCAGGTCTAGTTGTCTTGTAGGGCATTATTGTATTTACGTCAACTAATTGGACTCCGGGAGCCTAATACCATAATGTTGTGTTTTTATTTCGATATTGAGAGTTATTGAAATAATTGAATGCGAAAAGAACTGTGTGGTTTTCATGTACCAGTCATGTTTAATTCCTGTGTTATCTTTGTCTCACACTTCCATATGAGATGTTTTTTTGACCCTATTGGTATAAGTTGTTTAATATAAAGTAGATCTTGTAACCTAACCTAACCTAACCTAATTAACCTTGTGAAATAAGATCCTTGTTGGACTGTAGCCGTCAAGATGTGTGAAGAACTTAAGTCCAGTTCTGCCGAGTTATACACCGAGCAGGCTGACGTATAAGTGTTCTCATACACAGAACATTAGGCTGTGACTATTGAGGGAGGCTGGTGGCCACGTTGTTAAAAAAAAAAAAGTAGCAGTGGTAGTTGTAGTATATTTTGGTACTTTCTCACTACAAAATACGTATAATCTTCCTTTACTCTATTATATTTAGATCAATTTATTACCACTTACAAACTACAAATTACTTAAAGATCAAATAATTTCACGTCGCCTCACCTCGTAAACATTGTAATTATACCTTAAACAATTTAAATACTTTCTTAACTATCTTTAAAACTAACCAAACTGTCTCCTAGACAAACTATTTAACTAATAGTCAACTAATTACCTTCCTAACTACCCTACTAAACTACCAAATTACCTCCCAAACAACGTAATATAACCCAGATTACCTTTCTAACCACACACCACTAATCCAAGGCCTTTTCTTCCTCATCCTCTTCACAGATTCGGGACCTACGCCACGATAACTTGCTCGGGTTCATTGGCGCGTGTGTCGACCCCCCTAACGTGTGTATAGTGACGGAGTACTGCTCTCGGGGGTCCCTCAAGGTGAGAGTCTGGTTCCTGCGGTAAACAAAACATGAAAAAGATCACAAGCTGGTAACACAAACACCGCCAGGATAAATGGGGAAAACAAACACACGAACAAGGACACAGGGATAAGGAGACACAAATAAAGGCACGGGGATAAGGAGACACACAAATAAGGACACGGGGATAAGGAAACACACAAAACATGTAATAAAACAAATAAACAGAACTAGTAATACCGTAAAATAAGAACCCACACACACACACACACACACACACACACACACACACACACACACACACACATTTAATATAATAATTACCTAAACTTATTTATTTATACATACAGTAATTAATCAGGATTTTTTCTTATTATCTTATTATCTCTTCGACCTTATTTGTCTCTCAGTCTCATTATGTCTTATTTTATCTCTTTCTCTTTAGGACATATTGGAAAACGAAGATGTCAAGCTGGATAATATGTTCATTGCTTCGTTAATTGGCGATATTGTCCAGGTGAGTCACTATGGTTGGTTATATTGTTCAGGTGAGTCACTATGGTTGGTTATATTGTTCAGGTGAGTCACTATGGTTGGTTATATTGTCCAGGTGAGTCACTATGGTTGGTTATATTGTTCAGGTGAGTCACTATGGTTGGTTATATTGTTCAGGTGAGCACTAGTGTATATTGTTCAGTGAGTCACTATGATTGGTTATATTGTTCAGGTGAGTCACTATGATTGGTTATATTGTCCAGGTGAGCCACTATGGTTGGTTATATTGTCCAGGTGAGTCACTATGGTTGGTTATATTGTTCAGGTGAGTCACTATGGTTGGTTATATTGTCCAGGTGAGTCACTATGGTTGGTTATATTGTCCAGGTGAGTCACTATGGTTGGTTATATTGTTCAGGTGAGTCACTATTATTATTATTATTACTATTATTATTATTATTATTATTATTATTATTATTATTATTATTATCGCAATTAGTTATATAATTTTGAAAGTAATGTAATGTCTGTCTATACCAACACTATTTTACACGCGTTAGGTTAGGTCAGGTTAGGTTAGTGATAAGGTGGTTACTCTTCAGGTGAAATAAGCTTGGGCTAATCTTCAGGTAATCGAAAATAGAATTTGTATAATTTGTAAAAGTTCCACTGAGGAAGTAATGGTGACCAGATGAAGCCAACATTAGCGAGAGGCACCGCGTTACCCAAGTGCTCGAGTTGTCACTTGATCTTTATTTCACCCCATTTTTAACCCGCCACTACAAGCCTTCACCAAAACAGTGCCAACTCGACCTTATTTACCACAAAGTTTAAGCCCTTCAAGCCTTCATTAAAGCACACACACACACACACGAGAGAGGAAAAAAAATCGTAATTTGAAAAAAAAAAATCCGAATTGAACATTTCCCCCGAGACAATTTTTCCACGTTATTTTCTCATCATCTTTTATAATCCTAAGATCAAAAGAATACGATTGAGTTAATGATAAATATAATGACGAGCATTAGGAAAAACTTCCACTGAGGTAGACGCCAATCCACCTTGTTTACGTTCAGAGACCTTCAATAGAGTCTATTTTAGCTCGGTAATGATCCCTGACGGAGGAGAGTAAACATAAAAATAATTACACTCCTTTGATAGAAATTTTTAGACAAGTAAATAAAAGTATAAGTAGAGGGAAGGAACGAATAGTTGTCTTAATTTTACTTCATATTTTTCTAGGTTTTATGAGTTAAGACTAGCGTGTGTACTATGTGTTAAACCTGAGTATATATACCGTGTGTTTTATTGCTATATATACTGTAAATATTTATCACAGTAAAGGTAAGGAATTATAAGTGAACGGCCGACAGCGTTATTCTCTCTATCTTTCACTCATTTTAACCCTCTACCCTTCTCTCCCTCCCTCCGTCCCTCCCCTTTCTTATTTTATCTCCCTTATTTTTCCGTTTTCCCTCCATCTCTGTCCCTTTCCCCTTCCGTTCTATGTACTCTCCTTCCTTCCTTCCTTCCTTCCCTTCCTTCGTTTTTCTACCCCACTTATCAGTCTCCCTTGTTCCCTCGCTCTTTCCCTTTTTCCCTCTCATTTTTCTCCTTACCACTCACCCTCCCACTCTTCCTCCCTCTCCCACATGAATGATCTCCCTTTCCTCCCAATCACCCATCCCACCCCTCACTCTCCTTCCCTCTCGCCCACTCTCCCTTCTCTCACCCACCACCCACCCACTCTCCCAAGGCATGGTCTACCTCCATCTCACTTACCATCACCCCTCACTCTCCTACCCTCTCACTCTCTCCCCTCACCCACCCCTCACTCTCCCACCTCACCCACCCCTCACCTCCCTCACCCACCCCTCACTCTCCCTCACTCACCCCCTCACTCACCCCCTCTCACTCACCCCCTCACCCACCCCTCACTCTCCCCTCACCCACCCTCACTCTCCCCTCACTCACCCTCACCCACCCTCACTCTCCCTCATTCACCCCTACTCTCCCTCACTCCCTCCTTCACCTCACCCCTCACTCACCCTCACTCTCCCTCACCTCCCTCACTCACCCTCACCTCCCTCACCACCCCTCACCCACCTCACTCTCTCCTCACTCTCCCTCACCCACCCTCTCCTCACCCCTCCTCCCACCCTCCTCACCCCACTCCCCCACTCTCCCTCACTCACCCTCACTCTCCCCTCCTCTCCCTCCCACTCTCCCCTCACTCACCCCTTACTCTCCCTCTCACTCTCCCCTCCTCCTCCCTCACCCCTCTCCCCTCACCCACTCTCCCCTCCTCTCCCCTCCTCCCTCCCTCTCCCTCCACTCACCTTACTCTCCCTCACCCTCTCCCTCTCTCCCTCCTCTCCCTCCTCTCTCCTCACTCTCCCTCCTCTCCCTCACTCACCCTTATTCTCCCTCACCCTCTCCCTCTCTCCTCCTCACCCTCACTCTCCCTCACTCTCCCTCAGGGCATGGTCTACCTTCATGACTCAGCGGTCAAGTCTCACGGTAACCTTAAGTCTTCCAACTGCCTGGTGGACTCTCGCTGGGTCGTCAAGATAACAGTTCGGACTCCATGAACTCAAGTCCGGTACAGAGAGTACATCTGTAACCGACGCCGGAGAAACCCAGAGAAAGTGTACAGGTTAGTGAAAGTTAGGAGGAGAAACTTTTTTTTGTTAGAAAGTTTAAACGAAAGTTGGGTGAGATTTATTTGTTAGGGACATTAAATGAGAATAGGTGAAAGTTTTATATTTTAGAAAGCGAAAGAGAAAGAAATATTTGGATTTAGAGGAAGATTTATAATACTTTGACAATGTTTTACTCTCTCTCTCTCTCTCTCTCTTTCCGTTTTAAATTCATTTCTAATTCATTATATCTCCTCTCTGTCTGCCTGTTTCTCCTCTTCCATTTGTTGTTGTCTCCTGTCTTCTCCCGTTATTCCTCATTCATCCATTTCCTCTCTTCCTATCTTTGTCACTCACTTCTATCTCCACCTTTTATTCTGCTTCGTCTGTCCACGTTCTATTTTAGTCACTATTGATTCACGGTGTATTATTTTAGTGCGTTCAGAGTGTCATTATTTTCGTCAATGTTATTATTGGTATTATTGTTAGTCGTAGTAGTAGTAGTTTTAGTAGTAGTAGTAGTAGTAGTAGTTTAGTAGTAGTAGTAGTAGTAGTAGTTTTAGTAGTAGTAGTAGTAGTAGTAGTAGTAGTAGTTTTAGTAGTAGTAGTAGTAGTAGTAGTAAACAGTAGTTTTAGTAGAGGAGGTGGGCTCCTCAAACTGGCTAACAACATTACCGATAAGGGCAAAAGGCTTCAGCTTTAATAAACACGACTATACAGGTGCCAGTGCTCTAAGGTAAGGTAGGCCAGTAGAAGGTTTGCCCTCTCAATGCGTCTGTGGCTCATCTTACGACATTGACCAGGCGTTGGTGTGTAGAAGGGGTTTCGTATGCATGAGGCATGAGATTAGGATATCATAGCAAATATACAAAAGGAAATCTGCTGCGACGTCATGATGGAACCGACCCTCCTTCCATCGGACGGTGAGAATCTCCATCACATGACTTCCGACACATCCAACGAAGCCCGTGTGGACGTCAACGCTCAGAGATTCTGGATGCGGGGACAGCGAGCTTCTTTGACATCAGGATATTCGACCCCATGGCTGCATGTCACCGTAACCTATCTCTCGAGGCTGCACACAACAGGAACGAGGACGACAAGAACAGGGAGTAAACGAAGAGAATTCAGAATGTGGAACAAGGAAGCATCACAACCTCTGGCGGGAAGGGACCAAGTGCAAGATGCTGCTACGCCAGACTGGCCGAGGTATTATATGAACATGAACAGCACCCCAGAAATTACGTTGCAGTCTGTTTGAGATGTCGACTGTCCTTCTCTCTCTTGGTCTGCATTGCTTTGCCTCCAGGGAACGAGATCTTCGGCCCTAAAGCCGACAACGGTCACTGATATTGACTATGAGGCAACAGTCACTGATTGCCGCATAGATCTGCGGCTCAACTAACTCAGCTACGGTAGCCACTTTTGTATTAGGATATTTAATATTAAGGTAATAAAATGGTGGCGAAGGTGTGGCTATTTGGGGAGGCTGGAGGCTACGTTTTTGTTATCAAGTGAAAAAATAGTAGTAGTACTAGTAGTAGTAGTGTTAGTATCATTATTATTATTAACATTGCCAGTTATATTATCATTATTATTATTATTATTATTATCATTATTATTATTATTTGTGGTGGTGGTAGTAATAGTAGTATCATTGTCTTAGTGTTTTATTCATTACCTATCATCATCATCATCACCATCATCACCATCATCATCATCATCACCATCATCATCATCATCATCACCACGTGTGTTCCTCCCTCAGAGCTGCTGTACAGAGCGCCAGAGCTGCTAAGGGACTCCTCCTCGCCTCCTGGAGGGACCCAGAAGGCGGACGTGTACTCCTTCGCCATCGTCCTATACGAGGTATCCTTCTGCTGTCATCTTATAAGTATCCTTCCTCTATCATCCTGTATCAGATATCTTTCGTCTGATCATCCTGTAGGAGTCCTTTTGCTGTTATCCTACGTTAAATATGCCTAGCTTATCATAGTGTTAAAATCATCATACAGTTCTGAAACTAAAAAATATATATAATTCACAAAAAATACTGAGAAGGATGATTAAATTTTTTTTTTGGGGGGTGACTAAATGTTTAATTTTGTATATTTACCTGTATATGTCTCAGTTACTATGAGTAGCATTTAATGATTCTTTTGGTCTCTCATTTGTATTGTTTCATCCTTCTCTGAAACTTTCACATCCCATTTCTCACGCTTTCTAACTTTTTTCCCACGCTTATAATTTTTTCACATGCTTGTAATTTTTTCCCACGCTTATAATTTTTTCCCACAAATGTATTTTTTTTTTCACGCCCATAATTTATTCCTCCCACTCCTCCTGCAGGTACACGGGCGCCACGGACCCTGGGGCACCACTGAGCAGAGTCCTGTGTCTATCATTCGTCAGGTGATGGATGGACCTCACCCAGGCTCACCCCCCTTCAGGCAGGTGTTTGTGTCGTGTGTGTGTGTGTGTGTGTGTGTGTGTGTGTGTGTGTGTGTGTGTGCTGGCAAAGAGAGCAGAAGAGAGATAAGTAAGAGAGTGAGAAAGGAGAAAAGAAAAGAGATGAGAGACAGGAATGATTTTAACATGTGTGTGTGTGTGTGTGTGTGTGTGTGGCGACCGCCCTACTGCATATAGAATTCTCACAGAGGGAAAAGTGTTCTCTCTCTCTCTCTCTCTCTCTCTCTCTCTCTCTCACAGAGGAAAAGTGTTCTCTCTCTCTCTCTCTCTCTCTCTCTCTCTCTCTCTCTCTCTCTCTCTCGTCTTCCTTGCAACTCTAAAAAATATATGATAAAAAAATATGACAGTGAATATAAATCGGAGAAAATAATATCAATCACATATTCAATCAATCAAGGTGTCAGTTACAGGTTCTGAGGGTTGGCGACCACAGCCCTCTCACCCAAAATATTTTCACACTGTATTTTAATCTGTCATGACATCAGAGTCAATAACTTTCAATTTCATATACAGGTATTCATTTTAAACTCAGCCTTCCCCTGGTCTTCCTACCCCTTGATAATATTAAAGTTAAGAAAAATACTATATTGGGTAGAAATAATAATTATAATAATAGTAATAATAATAATAATAATAATAATAATAATAATAATAATAATAATAATAATAATAATAATAATACCGACAAGTAGAAATAATAATAACAAAATAAATAGTAAATATAACAACGATGACAATAACAACAAATATAATATAAAATAACAACAAAAACACCGAGCAAAAATAACAATAATAACAATAACAATAGGTTGAGACAGCAAACAATAACAGTCACACTAACTAAAAACTAAACACAATAATAATAGATAACCTAAGCTAACCTAACTTAACCTCTTGCCTGTAGGGAGAGAGATAGGGCGTATCAAGTTAAGAAACTGTCTCCTCCTCCTATTACCCACTCCTCTTTCATTACTTCTAGGAATCGTTGTAAGGCTATTCTTCGTAGGGCCAAGTGGAATGTTATAAAAAGAAAGACCGCTGTCCTGACTAACTCTTCTTCTAGTTAATCCTTCTGGTCCTTAACCAAAAACAAATGTAATAACTTCTGCACTCCTCCTTTCCTCCTCTCTTCCGACCTGATAACTCTATAGCCAACTCTCCCCTTGATAAAGCCAATCTCTTTGGCACCTTATTCTCCTTAGACGATTCCAACTCTATCCCTCCTACTCCTGGTCCTTCTACTGAACCTTTGCACTTTCCTATAATCTCCACTCGTAGGGTTGTTGGTGTGTTATCCAGGTTGGATGTGACTAAGGCGCATGTACCGGAGGGAATACCCCACTCGTGTTCTGGCGGAGTGAGCTGAAATTCTAGCCCCTGTGCTTGCTCGCCTCTTTCACCTTTGCCTCAAAATCCAAACTTTTCCTTCCTCTTGGAAGCAGGCCTCGGTTCAGCCCATCCCGAACATGGGTGATCATTCCAATCCCTCTAACTATCACCCCATTGCTCTAACTTCATCCCTCTCTAAGATTTTGGAAACTATCTTAAACTCTCATTTTCTCCTTCACCTTGAACGTTTTGAAGGCGAGATCTGCTGGTGATCTGTTCTCCTACTGCACCCATCTTTGGTCATCCTCTCTTAGGGATTATGGGGAACTTTCGTCGTGGTCCTCGACATCTCCAAAGCATTTGACAGGGTATGACACAAGTCTTTGCTTTCTAAACTTCCCTCTTATGGTTTCTCTCCCCCACTTTGTTCTATAATTTCTAGCTTCCTTAAGAACCGATCCATTGCACTTGCTGTCAAGGGATCTCTCTCTCTATCTTTCTCTACCAATAGTGGTGTCCCACAGGGTTCTGTTCTTTCACCTACTCTTTTCCTTCTTTGTATGAATGATTTACTTCACTCTTCTTCACATTTTTCTGTTCTCCCTAATTCCAAAACTAGATCTGTTTCTAGAGCTGATATGGTTTTATCTATCAATGGGAAGGTAGAAACTTGGTTAAATTCAAGAGTAATAAAACACAGTATTTACCAATTACACTTTCCAAAACAGAAGATCTCCTACCAATCATATTTCAGGATGCAATCATTCTGCCAAATTCTAAAATTATATATGCTAGGTCTCACCATTTCCGCTAATATCTCATGGAAGCCACACATCCTCAACATTGGTAAAGCTGCCTCCCGAAAGCTGGGAATGCTGTACAGATGCCATAGCTACTTCACTCCTGAGCAGTTGCTTCAGGTTTATAAGGGATTCAATCGTCCTAACTTAGAGTACTGCTCTCATATCTGGGGTGGCTCTTCTTCTGTCCATCTGTTTGATAGGGTGGAATCAAAGGAATTCTGTCCAATTAACTCTCCTCCTTTAGTTGATAATCTTTCTTCCGTTTCTCTTCGCTGCAATGTTGCTTCACTCTCTTTAACGGGTAATGTTCGGTGGATTTGGCATCCTGTGTACTGCCGGCAAGGCCGTCGGCTCGTCTTGCCCGCGGTGCCCACCGTTTCTCTGTGGATGTCGGTCACACTAGAATAACCCGTTATAGTACCTCCTTCTTTCCTCACACAGCCAAACTGTGGAATGCTCTGCCTTCTTCTATTTCCATACTCTTACAATCTGTCACACTTAAAAAAAAATGGTTTTCCGGCATCTTCGTGGTGTAGATTAATATAGACCTTTTCTCTTCTTTTTTTTTTTTACTCTTACTTTTTCGCCCCCCAGGCCCCGTTGTGGTTCGATAACCTGTGGCCGGGTGGGCTATTCCCCGTAAAAACTAGAAACAATACACAATAATAATAGACCAAGAAAAACTAACCTAACCTAACCAGTGCCAATAACAAATTTAATAAGAATCCTAAACTAACACGGGAACTTGTTTACATCCGAGGCGCCCTTAGTCCACCCGGCTGAGAATGGGGACCTGACTTTAGTTGAGGAGTTAGAGGCGGTCTAGTGCGGTGCCGGCTACTACTCCTTACAGGTCTGTCAGGCATATGGAAACAACTTTCTTTTCCTTCATTAGCATGAGAGTGAGTGAGGGAAAGTGAGAGAGAAAGAGAGAATGAGAGAGAGAGAGAGAGAGAGAGAGAGAGAGAGAGAGAGAGAGAGAGAGAGAGAGAGAGAGAGAGAGAGAGAGAAATGAACAGGAAAAAAGTGTAAGGGAAAAACAAAGAGACATAGAAGTAGTGAAAAAATGGAGACGAAAGAAACAAGACAAAGAAAGGGAGAATAAACATGTAGGAGAGAGGCAAATGGAAATAATAGAATGGGGGAGAGAAATAACGAGAGAGAGAGAGAGAAAACGTCATCATTCACTGTATCCCAAATAAACACACAATCAAAGGCTGTAGACAGGTACAGGTAAACAAGGCTCTATTGTATACCTGAGAAAGTTGTTTGTTTGTATAGAATAAACAAAAAGACCAAGAGGCTTTTGTTTGGTGGTGGCGCCTCAACCAGAAGGTGTGAAGGAATGTGAAGTTCTTTAATGTACGTGTGTGTGTGTGTGTGTGTGTGTGTGTGTGTGTGTGTGTGTGTGTGTGTGTGTGTGTGTGTGTGTACTCTTATCTACTATATCTTCTCTCTCTCTCTCTCTCTCTCTCTCTCTCTCTCTCTCTCTCTCTCTCCTCTCTCTCTCTCTCTCTCGTATACCACAATCAGATGGCAGCGTCAAAAAGAATATTTGTATACATATTTACCGAGGGCTAAAGCAGCTTATCTCGTTCACTGAAATGGTTAAGTCTTTTTCAGCTGGAAAGGAAAATGGTTAGTGTTTGTACATTTTCTTTGGGAGCGTCGCCATTGTTGTTGTTGTAAGCTATTTTCCGTCTCGCTTTTTCCTTTATTCCTATATAAGATGGTTGTGGTGTGGGTGTGTGTGTGTGTGTGTGTGTGTGTGTGTGTGTGTGTGGCTCACTTTAAATCAGGAGTATTAGATGAATATAAAAAGGCCGTATGGTATTTTAAACTCTCCACTCTGTCTCCATGAACTATATATAATATCTCCGTGTCTCTGTTTATATCTCACTGTATTTTCCACTTGTCTCCATATTTCTCTACCTATATCTAGAGTCTCTGTCTTTGTCTCCTGCATACTCTCTCGATATCGGCAAAATCTTCGTATGTCTTGTTCTCTCTCTCTCTCTCTCTCTCTCTCTCTCTCTCTCTCTCTCTCTCTCTCTCTCTCTCTCTCTCTCTCTCTCTCTCTCTCTCTCTCTCTCT